GTCTTTATAGCGATTAGGACGGGCGTCGACTTGACGCTTTTTTTCAGATTCATCGAAAGGTTCACCAAAAAATTCAGCTTTTATGTAAATGTCAATAGGGAAGTAATAAATCATAGAGAAAACTCTTCTTGAAAGAAAGTTTGAGAAGAAATTGAAAATGAAACACCTTGAAATAAGTATATTAATATATTGGTATTCGCTATTTGCAAGTTACGAAATGAATGTTTTTAGGCACACAGCGTGAATATTGTCAAAAGACACCGTTTCGTAGCATGTTTTATAGATTTTTTCCACTGATATTCTCTAATAGCAAAAAAAATCAGTTCCGAAATTATATCGAAAAGTTTGACTTTATTATCAGTCGAAATGTCAAAATATTGAACACTAAAGTTTTCACGGCCATATAATGTTTATAACGTGTGTGTGAAATTTAAAAGTTGGCAATGGAGATATATCGAAAATGAAATAGATAACGAGAAATGAGTGAATTCTGTATTTTGATAGAAATATGTGTTTCCTAATATGTAACACCAGATGGCCTTCCCTTTTTTCGGAGACTAGTGAAAACTCCTGCCAATGACAACTTGATTCCTAAACTTCAATCAAAGAAGTGTGATAGTGTGATGGTAAAAACCTATCATCAAATACCATTATTAGATGTTTTCATTCAATGATACCAAAGCAATGAGTCTAACAAAACAAATTCTAATTACTGGGAATGGTCTTGTTGAATCTTCTCACATCTAATGCAGGCGCCATCCTTCACCATTTTATTGTCCTATCAAATATTTTAATGTTATGGCATACATTTTCATCCTCACATCTACCAGTTGGTTGCATTCTATAGATTTCACTGTTTAAAAATCAATGGGCAACAAATCTGGTAAACGTGGAGGTCGATCTCACTGTAAATGATATACCAGTTTCCAAATCTGCCACCCATGTCAAGTTTTTAAGAATGCGCATTGATGAACATCTCGATTAGAAAGAACATAGTCTAACTCTAACATTAGGGCTATATTCGCAGTGGTATCTTCTGAAAAATCTGGGAATATTTACAATTTTTATGTACTTCAATAAAAACGGAACGTTTACATATGTTCCCAAATGTTTTTTGCATAAACCAATAAAAATAGAAACAAAAGTTGTTTCAATATTGCTCCAGTAGAAACACATTAGCTTTATTCATTTTCGTCAACAATTTCCATCTTTTCAAGGCAAAATAAGGTATATTGTCAGGGGAATATCAATCAAGTTATTTCATTAATTTTTCATTTCGTGGACTGATGTATATGAAGAGTGTTGTTTAATATTCAACAAAATATAAGGTCTATATAGAAACATCAGCTCATTGCTGAAGTTTGGGAATGAATATAAGCTTATATAGCATGCACTTTGAAAGTGTTACGTCCACTTTGGGTGAAAATACCAATTTTATTGAGGATTTATGACTTTAAAGGTGTGTATTACCAAATACGTGGCTTATCGAAATATTGGTTATATCAACATGCAGGTAGTTCTTTACTTTCGCTTCGAATTTAAGTTCAAATCGTTTCCATGATAACACAATCCCTTTTATGATTTGCTTTGATATTTTTACACTCCATCAACCCTCCATAAATTTCAAATAGGGCGACAAATCTTCCAAAACTCTTTCTTATGGCGGCTGATTTCGAGTTCGCGTATATGATGAAACAAGTTACAATATATCATGAATCCAACAAGGAGTATTTCGGGTATAGTCAAGTGACAAACGGGATCTGTTACCAGTTAGACATTCGGAATTTGGTACTGTATAGTAAGTTGTTGTTGAATAAATGAAGTGAGTACAATGATGGTCAACTAAGAAGAGACAAAGCTTAGTACTTTTTTTAGTATTTATAACATTATAAGAAAGAAAAGGTGTCATCCCTCTCATCACCTTTTTGATACTGAAGCTAAGTTTCTTCTGTCAATAATACAATATTTCATGCAATATGATTGGCATAGATTTACTGACAACTCAAAACGAAGTTTGAAAAGTGCCCCAACTATGGTGAATAAATATGGTTCAACGCCTATTTAACTAAGTTGAAAGAAGAATAGTATAGCACCAGCACAGCAAAGTGGCCATACGTATATTTTATCTTGTGTTTATCTGTTAGTAAAGACAGATTTTCATTCGTTGCAATCGAAGAATTATAAATTCATGCATAGGGAACCAATCTCTCACAGAAACAATTTTTTATCGGATAGGCAAATCCACAATGGCTGTTCTATCTACAGTGTCTCGTTTTGTTGAAGGCACTGAAAATACTTTTTTTTCGTCACATGAATCCATGGTTAGATCATTGTCTAACTAGTTCCGGGAGAATATAAATAAAGTGACAGTGAAGAATCGGGGTTGTACTTATGTATCGCTTCCTTTTTGATAGCTGCTCGTTGACAATTTGATAACAAAGCTGTGGGATCAAGGCATCATGTATGGAGAAACATAAAAATGCCAAAAATTAAATCACATCAAATTGTTTATGAATTTAACAACCACATTTTTGTGTGTAATGGAAGAAGCAGCAGCGATCATTGCCTTCAAGATGGACCAGACAATTAACATGGAAGCAGAAAATAATTTGTAGACACATGAAGATTCTGATTCTTTGCTCTAGTATCTATCTCAAAACGGTTTGGCATATTGATTGGTCTAAGATGGATTAAAAGCGATACACTCAAGAACGATTCATATTCTATGTGGGCGCCAAGTCTTCTCGAAAGAAGCATACTTCTTCCTCTGGACTGGAATCTTTCTATGTACTATCGAGAAGTCACATGAAAAAGTCCGACAATGAAAAGTCGATCAACTAAAACCTAACTGAAATAAAGTGCTAGGGTAAATACGTAAATACACATGATAAGGGTGACCAGCCTGTTGCAAAGAAAACTGAAGTACGTCGAGGGCTTTAACTGGACTTTTACCAGAGAAAACTTATCGAATCTACAATCTGCAGAGTTCCTCCCAAGTCGATGTATGGACTATTCTAGGCGATTTTGTGATTTATGTAAATTTACATAGTCTATTAAGTATGTAATTTTTATACATTATGTAAATTTACACAAGACCCCAGGACGGGCCGGAAATTGGGATTTGTATGTGATTTGTTGTATATTGTTCGAATTTTGGCGGTGCCCATGGCATTTTCGTACGATCTGTCATCGTCGTTTGGCCTGATCCATTCCAGTGAAACTTTAATTGGACGATTTTTTTAGTGACTATAAACGATGGATTACGAGCTGAAATGTAGAGAAGCGCTTGGGAAGAATAGAGCATGAATGTCAAAACACCTGTTAACTAGAAAATGTAAGGAGAAAACAGGAATGGAATCCCATGTCAGTTTACTTTTAAAGTTGTTCTTACTGATGATAACTCAAAAATACCGTGCCAGAAATAGCACGTCGCACAGTTTCGACTTCTGAGGGTTGCCTTTTGTAGAGGGGCTACAGCTGATTACCAGAAAAAAAGATATGTGAAAGCTATTTTCCGGGATTTTTGTACGTGTTCTGCATTTATTTATGTCTGACGTTTCGTTTACTACTGCGGTAAACATTGTCAAAAGCGATGTGGTAACGGTCGTAGTACTTCCCTTTCTGAACGCTTCAACAAGATGCTTATACTCGACTCTGATGGTATTATATTATTATTAGTGGACGTGGCTTGGTTTCTATCAATTGGATTATCTGACCTCTGAAGACAGGTAGCCAGATTTTATTGATGTTTACTGCCTCTTCTTTTCTATTGAAATTATACCTCGGTTCTTGATCTGTTGACTCTCTATATACCTACTTTCGAATAGTAATTTTGATTTTTATCGAATATTACCGTATTTTCGAATGAGATAATAGATTTTATCAGATTATTCAATAGAGGCAACGGTTTGCCTCCAAAATGAAATATTCTATTCGTTTTCCCAATAATGGTATAAAGCGTTCAACTATAATTTCCCGTATTTCGTAAGTGTAGTGATACACTTGATATCGCACGTTAAAATGCAAGACCCTCGCATTCTCTTGGGTCACACAAATTGTCAAAGACTTTTGAAAGTTGCGTATAGAGGGCTGTAGCTTTAGTAAAATTTTAGCGATTGATAGTTTTTTTTTTCGAGGGCGATTTTCACGATTTGACATTGGATTTTGCCACCGGACTATATGTCTCACTGAAATTATATTCTTGGTGCGACTCTCACTTTGTAGTCGTGGAGATTACCGTGCGCAGCCGTAGGGTGTGCCACAGATAGGGACGCTAATACGTGACAGAAAGTGATGGAGAACACGGTTTAAAAGACCGTCGGTTTTCTGGTAAAGCGTTGACGCGTGATATAAATCAAAGGTGCTCCGTAAGAGAGTCCGACCGATTTAAAAATAAAACCCTCTCGATTTTATCTGCTTTTTATACACCGCAGAGTTTGGGGATATAGTCACTTCGGGTTGACTCGACAGAGGAATTTTTTACGGGCTGATAGCGTTAAATTGTTTTCTCGGAGCGATAGCTTTGATTTCCGGGGAGAAAATTCGGCAGGGATTTTTTACTGAAAAACTGAACGGAGAGGATCTATTGCAAAGTTAATCATGCAGCTGAGACGTCTATCGGAGATAGTAGAACTAAGTCAAACGGCAAAACAAAAACAAAGCCTGTCTGTGGTATCTTTTACAAACGCATATAATACAATTTTTAAAGAATAGTAAACCCCACAATAAATATGAATATGTGTTTCACAGTTAGCTGTTCCTGTTGCTAATATGTAGTTATTCATGTATTTGTATTTTGTTTCCTTCGTTTACAGCAGAGGTTCTCAAACTTACTTTGTTTACCGCCCGTTTATTTTCTAGCGCCCCCCTTTTTTTTTACTTTACTACATCTTAAGAATCACAATCGCAGTCATTATGTTGATAATTAAATTGTGTGTCATGTGAAAATAAGACTTTCTGATGAGGTTAATGTGAAACACCATTTTCTTATAGTTGGAAAACTAGCCTTTGGAAAAATATCCTCGCCTCACCAAGTCAAAATCAAAAGTGGCACCGAATTTTTCCATTATAGGTTTAAAAACTTCTGTGGTGTAGTCAATTTGTGCATTCGTTCCACCTCGTAGACTGAGACTTGTTGAAAATTCTGCCAAGAAACAACAAGTTAGTGCTACTTGTAGAAGAAGGCTTACGCTACCTGCAGTTTTAACCTGTGCAGGGAAATTACCGCCTTTAATTTCTCCTGGATAAAATTCTACCCCTGTAGAACCTAGTGATGCACCTTTAACATTGGCAGAGCATATATCTCTAAGTTATTCAACACCTTTTAAATGTTGTTCCATTAGTCCAGGTTTTTTTCGCCCCCCTCTTATATTAAAAATACGAACAGGATTTTTTTTGAGTGCACGTATTGTTAATGCAATTCTCAGAATTTGTCCACCACCTTCCAAAAGAGAACCATCTATTTCGATATGATTTTTAGACATTATGGGCTAAATTATAAATTTGACATAAAATTGACATCATTAAATAACTTATACAGGTCTGTCAAGTACGCAATATCAGTATTTTAAGTGATGAGGTTGTCGTGCAATTCTGTCTTTGTTTTCCAAGAACTCTATCACAGAGCCAAATAGATTGTAAAATCGAGTCAGATAGTTACCTTCTTGATAACCAACGCACTTCTGTGTGGAATAGCAATCGGTTAAAATCTTCACCATTAGCAACACAAAGCTGATTGAATAATCTGTCATTTAAAAAGTTGTTTTGGATTTTATTGACTACTTTGATGATATATTGCAATGATTGAGAGAGGCGCTCACTCAAATTTTTCGCAACCAAATGTTGCTTATGAATAACTCAATGTACAGCGAGCACGTCGGACAGGAAATAGTTACTGTCTAGTCCCCTAGATGGCGTTACACGAGGAAATGCTCGTTAAGCGTAAGGGAGCGGTAAAGTTTGTGTTGAAAGCAAAAAAAAACATTTTTAAATTAGCCATCGCCTCCGTAAACCACTTCAACGCCACCCCCAATCTTCTCTGTGCCCTTTACTGCCCCTCTATAGGCCTCCAGCACCCACAAGAGGGCGTTATCGCCCACTTTGAGAAAGACTAGTCTACAGCTTGTCAAATCTAGGAAGCGACTCCAAAGTCTTGGACCTCCCCTAAGATGCGCATTCGTTGGGAGACTGTGTGTGATAGAGAGAGATAGAATTCTCAAGTCTCTCAAAATCTTCATCACAAATTGTCCAAACTGTTTCTACTACATCAAAAGCCCTCACTTGAATAATATCTCTTGAAATCTACAGCAAGTACAAAAATGTAGGTGAAATATTTCACTAGTATTTTATGTAATTCATTTGACTATGGATTACAAGGGTTCATGATCTACATACTCACAAACAATCTTCTGGATTATTATTGAATTGAATTTAATTCGTTATTCCAAAAAGGCGATCCTCTTGGTGATGGCAGGGACCACTCCAATCCCTATTTTTCTCTCTGAGATTGGCCTAAGCGGCTCATATCAAACCTCTTCTTTATTTCATCGCTAGCCACCTGGAGTTGTTGCTATTAGGTTTTTTCTAAAGTTGTATTGGTTTGCGAAATTTCGTTCCGAAGATTTTGGCTTCGAAAATAAGCCCCAAAGTGGTCGACCTCATGGTAATCCCTCATGGCCTGCCGCACGAGTACCATTGGAAAGAATCAATGGAGACATGGAAGAGGAAATTATCGAGGCAGAGAAGCCTCAGGATAGGATCGAGGAGCTGGTCACCCGATTGGTGAATCTTGGAAAACTGGCAAGAGCCACAGAGGGACGTGGAAAGCGATTTTCAGAATGGGAGAAGAGTCAGAATCCCCCCTCCAACATTTAGCGGATTGGATCAGGAGGATCCAATCGATTTCTGCAGGAAGGCAGAAGATCAACTAAGTGACCTTCACCCTTCAGTATGGGTCAGCATGGCCGGACAATGACTGAGGGGTGCGGCAGCGGCGTGGTATACGCCGTAGAGAAATATGACCTTAGACTGGGCTTTTTTCACGAATCGTCTTCAAGAAAGGTTTGACAATGTACAGTTAGTGAGCTCATTGGAGAGTGATCTATATGTAGTCGACCAAAGACGATGCGAATCAGTAACGAATTTCATTCTGCATAAGCTCGGGTTAGCCAGGAGGCTATACCCCTAAATGGCCGAGAAGAGGATCGTTCAATTGATATTGAACAGGATGTGTGCAGAAGTGAAAGTTCATTTGCAATTGCATACCTTCACAAGCATCAAAGAGCTGACCCTGAAGGCAGTGGCTGTAGAGTCACTGCTAAGAGGCAGCAATGCTAACAACGTGAACAGTGGCACAATTCGGCGAACCCACCACGAAGACAGAGAGCCTCGTCGTGGCAACGTTGGAACAGAGAAGAGCAAAGAGGGTCAAAGACAGGACGCGACCAAGAGTTTGTTGTTTTATGGGAAGTTCTAACATCATATCTATTTCCAATTCGTATCATCTTTTCAGATAGTCCTGGAAAATGAGGTGTAACATAGGTTGTGAAAGCTGAAATTGTTAAATTTGTGATGCTAGTATTATGAACCTTCCTCTTGGGTAGTTTTTAAGTTTATGGCATTCAAACACACATATGCCGTGGATGACACCGCGGATGATCTGTTCTGTTATAACCTTTAATAGTGATTGAAGGTTATTCACATTGACACACAAACATTAAAGTAGTTTTTTTTTGCAAACGGCGCTGACAGAATTTATTCAACTGGAAATGACAGATGGCATTTGAAAATATTTCAGAATATAAGAGTAATAGGCCGCCCTTTCGCCCTTTTCAGTGAATTATTTCTCTGAGAGTTGAAGGGGCAGAAGAAAGAACCTTCCCTGACTTTTGCTGACAAGTCCGAAAGGGAAACTTACTTTATTGATTGGTACAAGGGTGCGTATCGCCGAGATTCTTCGGATAAATAAAACATGGCTTCAGGCTTTAAGTTTGACAGCCAAACTGGTATAGTAACACTCAGAATTGAAAAATCCTGGGATGCAAGGATTTACGACGCGTTAAATATTTCGACGCTTTTTTGCTCGTTCGAGCGTAGTTCAGAGGAAAATCCGTATGGAAAATGTATCAGATGCGTGGCTGTCTAGCGCTGTTTCAATATTTCATTTCTGTTTCGATAGATTTGTAGGTGTCACCTACTGATATTGATATGTGTCCGTATTTAATCCAGCGGTTTTATTCGAAAGTAGGCATATGATTTCAATGCATGGGACCGATGAGAAGCTTTTGAAGGTTCAAAAGGTGCAACTCCTAATTTTACTTGAAAAATAGTCGTGCTTCTATGAGTACTAATGAACGTAGTACTTATTCTACCTATTCTGTCGTATTTTTTATATTTTTTTTCGCTCAACATGGGGATTTACAAGTTTAATAGCATTGCAGAAACATCACTCAGAAGAAACATTTTTCTTAAATTTCGTTATTCCATCATTAGTAAAATCAGTTTCAAAATTCTTCATCTGATCGTAACATTCATTGGAGAATTACATAAATTTGAGAAACTTTTTTGCCATATCTTTAAATTTGGTAAACCTTTTTCGAAATCAAGCACCCCACGTTGGGTAACTAAAGATGACATCGTCTTTTACTAGATAAATGACGGACATACAAAGTTATTCTTCAAAAAATTATGGATAAACGTTAATATTTGGCATTCAGAAGAAATAAAATTACAATAGTCATACTGAATAGGGAAAAGAGCTCTAAAACAACTTAAAAAAGAGGAATTGAATAATGCATTCAACATTTAAAGAGATTCCTTTCTATTTCACCATTTGGCAACATCAGTTATAGCTAATAAAGGATAATGAATCTGTTACCTGAATGAGACAAACAAAGACGACATATTTCAGAGGCGTGCTGTGACATTCTGTGACATATGAACAATATGTGAATTAGAAACAAATCCCTTTGAAAATTAAAACCCAACATTTGAAACATCAATTTGAATACCTACTTTTCGAAGTGAATTCGAATAAGTCATGAACTAAACTCAACTTTATTCTGTTCAAACTTGCATTTGCTGTAATAAACCAAATTGAGGAACATTCCCCATTGTAACAAGACTGGACATTTCCACAGAAAGCACACGAGTTTCGAAAAAAAGAAAGAATGACCCCAAGAACTACAAATATCACATCCCTTCATTTTCATTGTGAGGGATTATTAAAAGTGAGAGGTGTCTATTGATAGACCTCAAAATGGTGGAAACCTATTTGTGTCTAAATTGAAACCATTACTTCAAACGTTATCCGCAAAGTGCAAGAGGAATATCTCGATAAATTTACTTATTCATGGTGTATAGGCTTTCAAAGCCAGTGTCTAACAAATTGTCTTATGTTTCTTGAGGTATTACCCGTGGTCTGCAGGATTTGTAAATTTGACGTTTCGTCTTCTGCTGCTTATTATCAGGAGACTGTTGAATGGTATTTCAAACATCTTATTTAACTGACCGTCAATTCCGTTAGCCATAATTCATCTCTGTATTATGTTGTTGGAAGTTATTTACTCCGTGCAAACAAATAATCTCTCCTGAAAAAATATACCCGTCTCGATATAGGTAAGAAATACTTTTGACGTGAATTTTAAACAGTGAAATCATCGATCATGAACTCAAAGTCAAATTCACTTGCCAAATTAGTTGTTATAAAAATATACATTTCATTCCAGGACTTTGTTTATACCAATAGCTTTGATAACCTTAATTGAAACCATTTCTGTCACGAACAATTCATAACCTTGAAGTTAAACTGTCAATAGTGTTTTCGAGCAGAGCAGTGTTAAATCTTTAATTTCAAAAAATTTTCTTTACACATTGACAGTTTCGGGTTAAAATGATTCATGAACATGGAGTCAAGAACAAACATGTAGGTGATATCTTAAATAATCGTGGTGGATACACTGATTTTGCTAAAGCAGTTGGTCAAGTTGATCACATGATCCTTCAATAAAAACTCCACCAATTTGGTTTCTAAAATCCAGCAGCACTTTTCATAAAATCCTACTTACTTTAACGCGTACATTTTGTATCATATTACGGATATGATTTTTTTATCACAATCCTCCATGTGGAGTACCTCAGGGATCTTTATTTGAACCTCACTGTGACCTGAAATAATTAACTATTCATACTTTCCTCTGGTTTTCTATTTTTGTTCAAATACTCAGTTCCTCTAGAAATACTGTTCTTTTTTTCAATGTACTGCATTGATGTAAGCTCTGGCTCTCAGTTTTCAATGATTACAATCTGACAATATTTCATTGGATGCCGCCGGACGACAAAAACCTAAATAACTACTTTCCTGAATGTTTCCACACGAATTTCATAAAAGCGTGTTGTCAATCACCTCTTTTATATATCAATTTGGCTATCATTATTACAGTTTGGTCGCGCGGCTGAATTGGGACCCCGCCGGGGCAGAAATACTCTTTCATGTCGCGTCTACCCATACATGAACACCAACATAATGACTGGCCCACATGTCAATAGCACGCCCTTGTTTCCGGCTCTCATTATTACCGCCGAATGCATCTGCACAAGCGGTTCCTCTTTCTTGCCTCCGTACATAAGTCTGTCCTTGTTTTCTTCTAATGGACAACGGGTTAGTACGGTTGTGTCGTCGTTATTTTTACACACTTTATATTAGCTTCACCTGTATCTATATATGTGTGTGTATGTTTGTTTGTATGTATGTTTGTTTGTAACTGGGATCTGTATTGACAGAGTTATCGGCATTATTGCTTGATCTATTCGCGGAGAAAATATCAGTGGAACATTTATCTTACAACATTAATGAACTTGAATTCAAGCCTGTTCAACAATTTGTTCTATTTTATTTTTGAGGCAAAGAATGTAAACTTTCAGAAGTGGACTCTGGTTTTATATTATTATCAGTGGACATGGCTTGGTATCTCTTCATTGGTTTACCTGACCGTGTTTGTGTACAATTAGGGACAGGTAGCCAGATTTCTTCAATGTTCATTACGTCTTCTTTTCTATTGAAATTATCCCCATGTTTTTGAATTTCTATTGCCTCTCTACATTGTCTTGTAATTTTGAGTTTTATCGAGTATTACTATATCTTCGAATGATATAAAAATTATATGATAAGCCTTCATTACGTTATTCTCTAGCATTTACTGAACTAATTGAACCGGACTAAGAAGGCAGTCCTTGGAAATGTCGACTTTGAAAATGACGCCACATTTGAATGGAATTAAATTTGTAGGAGTTTAATTGTAGGAGTTCAGACGATTTCAATATGTGATCACATTTTGAAATATTGAAAATACTAGAAGACAGATGAGTCTGAGCTGTAGGTCCTTCATATACGGCGGTTAAAGCAGAGTAAAGCGCCCTGAAGAATGAATATCAGACAAGGACAGATTCCAAATCGAGGCAAAAAGATTTCTGTGTGGTCAGATAAAAATGCTAAATGCTTCTATACAATTGGGAATGCGCTACTCGTTCGCTCGTTGTATGGGTATTCGAAGTAACCGCGATTAAGGAATTGCGGATTTTCGTAAGGATTTAGGAGGATGTTGTGGATTCCACTGGACCTGATCGAGGATAGCAACGATCTCGGTACAGTCGCCGACAATGTATTTATTACCGATTCACGTTGAGCTGATGATTTCACTGTGTTGAGTGCTCTGAGCGGAATGTCATTATGTTTTAAATCGCTCCTATAATCTCTTTTGGTAACAAGAATCGACAATGTTTCAAGTCTTTCACGCTTCGAAGGGTGAAACAATCGATTGTTCAGTTTCAGCTGTCAATTTAACTTCAATATTAGATTTTTCATGTCAGGTGATAATACATATTGAAAATATAGTCTTATAATAGTTTTTTCGGAGTCTTGGAGCACGTAAAAACAATAAATCTAGTGTGGGGGTAATTTTCCAGAAATTATCGTACGGTTTTCTTTGATTTTGGTATTGATAACGTTTGGAATATCCTTAACCGAACGCTGTAGAAAAAAGAGGTTGGAAAATTGCAAAAAAATAACGCCCCCCCCCACTTGGGTTATTATGTTCCACAGTATATGTAAGGGCGATGATCTTTATGTATAAAGTCCCTCTTAGGAAACTGAATGTTGATTACAGACTCACATGGACCGAGTCTGTAAATTTATTGTGAATAAATATATTATAATTTGCAATACAGGACTCCAAAATGGGGTTCAGAAGCTTCGGTAGAAATTATTTTCATTTTGCAGAAGTCTCTAGTTCGAATAATCGCTTTAGTTGGACGAAGTCGTGTAGAAGGTGTTTCAAACAACTCAAACTTCTTGTTGTAAAGATATATATTAATGAAATGGGTTTTTTGTTAACTGAAAGAGAACAACGTCTCTATCGAATCAGCAAATTAATAATTATGCAACTCACTTTGGAGATTCACTAGTACATCTGGATCGCATCGAATAACCCTGTAGCAGGAAGGTAGAGTACCAAAAATTTAACAAATTAGATAGGAATGTAAAAGCAGAGCCTCCCAATATACATGTTAATTTTTTCACTCATTCATTCGCATGTAATTTCACTTTAATTTTCTTCTTGTTATTGTATAGAGAAATACGATTTTTCTTATGTACTTTTCAAGAAGTGTTGTTGATTATTATCACTATTTATATTATTGTTTTCACATTTACAACTGACGGTATAAGGTTGAAACTCTTTTTTTTCAGACTATAAAAATCAGACATATTTTAAAGGTATTATGTGGCCTTGATGTCTTTACCTAATAGTAGTTCAGAAGACTGTTTAATTTTTCTCAATATTTCACACAAACCAGTTAATGATCTCAACGTTTCAGGCAGTTTTTATATAAATTTGGGAATTGTAAAATAAATCAATCAAAAACATTGTTGATACATACATACGATCTAGGTTAAACAATCTTTTTCAACTGTCAACAAAATATAACGACCTCAAAATTCGCGAATGTTACTGATGAATTGAAAGGGGTATATTTTGTGAGAAATTGTTTTTAGGAAAAAAATTGGCAATTTTGGAAAAAATGGCATAATGTCGGTTTCAACTCAACTAAATGTTATGATCTTGTGATTCACTGTTTGGAAACTTTAGTGTACTAATGAATACTACTGGAATTTAATATCAAAACACCAAACCGTAATTTCAACACCTTGACACGTGTTTCGAGCACCAGATGATCATCTTCAAGAGGAATATTTATGAATGTTATGATATTTGTAATTTCTATAGTAAATTCATCAAACTAATGTATTCTCACTGTTTTGAAATTTGTTAACTGATTAATCATGACCAAATCATTCTCAACAACTCACTTGGCTGATTTGAAACTCCTAACTTGTTATATCCCCTCTACAAATTTTATTTTCAAAAGAAAGATGCTAGTTTCACTTTACTCACTGTATATTTCTTTGTTTCAGTGCTGATTCTTCCCCTGGAGCTATAAAACTACCAGGTTTCAAAAACGGTTTCGACGCTGAAGAACAAAAAACGATGATGAAGAGATATCTACAATGTCCTGGTATGTGCAGGGTGGAGGTGCTCAAGAAATTCGTAAGGAACAAGTACAACGTCGATACAAGTCTTTTTCATGTGAGTTTCACAAGCTTCGTTAACTGATGTTGAAATAACTTGATTTTTTTTCGTTTTTCAGATCGATGTGCTGTACAAGAGGGTTCCCCTTCCGGATCATTATACTCTCATCGATATCGCTTACATCTATTCGTGGAAAAGGGTAAACAACGCGACTCTGACTGATTTTTGTCTGTTTGGTGGAACTAGACTTTTGCGTTTGTTTTCGAAACTAAAACAAGTCATTTTTTGTTGTTTTTTTAAACACAACTAGTAGCAAGCAAGTCCGTTTGATGGAGACCAGCCTTAAAGAGAAAAGATGATTGTTCGCTTATCACTGTCACATTAAAATTTTCAAAATCTTTATTTACATTGTCATCCAAATAACACATTGTCAGATTTTTTTTTAAGGCGTCGACTACGAGGTCATTGGCCTTCTACTATCAGTTTGTTCAACATTTGATTTCTTCTTCAAATTTTTGAGTATAGCCCAATAGCTTTCATAAATTTTATAATTCTCTCCAGACTTTCATTATGATCTTTCAAACATTCCTTCATAGAATTTGGTATTTCAAATCGTTGTCTAGCTTCAATAATACTGTTAAATATTCAACTGATTTCTATATTTTTGGTAAATGAATGTCATGAAACGTTTACTAACCTACTGAAAATTGACAAAAGCTACTTGTTTCGTGTAATAGCGTGAGAAAGTGGACTGTATTTATGAACACACGTAAACATTTTAATACTCAACAAAATTATCCCCAACTTTGCAAATCAGTAAACTGCCATAGAGGGAAACGTTCATAACTTTTCAATTATACCACTGCTCATGAGTTAAAATACTACAAATATTTCTACTTGCAGACACCTGACTTCGTGATAAGTCCTAATGAGTTCTCTTTCTGTAATATGGCATTTCCATAAAATCTAAATATGTTAACAATTCATTAACAGATTATACATTTTACTCCCTGTGACTGTGAAGTAACTTATAAAAGAGGCTTACATTATACCACTTTCAATCCGCTTCCCCCACTTAGATCATAACCTATATTTTATCAAAAAAATGTATGAAATACTTACACACGATTTATTTTCAGAACGAACCGATGAAATTCTTCTTCAGGATAACCGACATCAACAAGGTTTCAGAGAGGTTCGACTACTTCGATTCGCAGAATCCCATGGACTTTGTTGTCAAAACTCCTGCCAGGACGTCTCGGAATAATGGAGACAGAATCGGTTCTAGCAGGAAGAGGGAAAATCATCAGAAGAAGAATTCCAAAACCAATAAACAAGCTAGTCCCAAAAAAGATGTTTGTGATGAAAACAAAAGTGAACATAGCGGAGGTGATTCTAATAACGCCATCGAGACAGACCGTGTTACCGTTGACGAAAGTAAATGTGATAATATCAGTGAAACCGACATGAAACGTAGTGAGAGAAATGTTAGTGAGAATGACGTAAGCGTGGACAAAGTTACTATAAATGTAAATACTACTGTATGCAGTAGTAGTGGTGATGAGAAGAAAACTGTTACTGATTGTACAGATAAAGTGTTTATCAAGACAGAGAAAGATTCGCCGAAAATCGAGTCGAATTATTGCGATCAAAGTTTTGCCAACGAACTGGTGAAAGTGAAAAGCGAAGTTCCTCCTCCTGTTGAAAATTCCGGACATTTCAAGTCCGAAATACGAAATGATAAAGAGGAAATCAAGAAAGCAGTGTATACGAATATCACTCTGAACCGTACTAATAATGTGGAAATAATAACAAAAATTCAGAAAGTTTCTAACAAAGCTGGTCAACCAATTGGTCTGAACATTATAAAGCAGACTGTGAAAAATAACACCGCGACCAAAAAGGTGCCAAGTTGTAAAAAATCCCCACAGACCAAATCTAATTCTAATAAAAGTGTCGGGAAAACTATCACCCCCAAAAAAATTGAATTTCCAAAAAATGATCCTTCCACAACTACCAACAAAAATGTGGACATCGTTACAAAAAAAGACGATTCGTCAGAAAGTCGAGCGAAGCAAAATTCTGATCAAGGATCTGCAAAATCTGACGAAGAAGAGAAACGTAAGTTCCTAGAGTCCATAGAACTAACTGCAAAAAATATTCCTTGCGCTAATGAAAAGAAACCTGACGCGCAAGTCACGAATAGCCAGAAACGAAAATCCAGCCCTAGTAAAAACGAAACTAATCTTAAGAAAGCTAAAATTGAGAAAAAACCCACCACGAGGATAATCCTCTCGAAACCGAAACAAAACCAGACACCGAAGACCTCGCTACAGAATAAGGGGTTGAAATCTCTGATCGAGAATTGTAAAATACCATCTTCCCTGTCCATAACCATCAAAGATGGCACGGAAGATAGGTTGCCTAGTTTAATACCTCCCGTCAAAAATTTCATAGAAATTCTCAAGCTCCCCGATGAGACTGGGCAATCCGATAGAACTGGAAAAGAAGGATCTGCTACCAAACTCGATTTCAGTTTGAAAATGAACGATAACGATAGCGAACAGAAGGTCGACGAGGACTTGGCACAGATCGCGAAGAGTCTAACCGAAAGAATCCCCATGTCGACTACGATTTCGGAAATCGTCGGCCCCAAACCCCAGTTTCCCATTCCAATGAAGACTAACGTACCTTTGAAGTTCATCCAACCCTCGCCTGTACCTGAATTGTGTAACAGAGTTTTGAATGTGCCGAAGGAGAATAACAAACTCAATCCCAGGTCTCCGCAAACGTTCCAAAAGATTTTCGAGGAGTCCATCAAGAAGCCCGAGGATGAAGGCGAGGCTCCCGATAAGATCGGGCAGAAGTCTGCTTTGGATTTGAGCAACGATAACACCGGAGCTTCGGCTACCATTAAAAGAAACCTAGCAGAAATAGCTACGCAACTTTTCAAAAAAACGAAGTTAGAACAAGAGAACAGCTGTTCTGATGATTCGAAGGTTGACGAAACTGTGACCCCGAAACCGAATCCGAAAGTTCCGATTCCAAGACTACCAAACCAGAGGAATCTGAAACCGCCACAGAAAAATTTGAAGTTCGAAGTAGCTGATCCGATGAAGTTCCAACAGACTCTAGCGAATCTCCATTCGAATGCTCTGGGGATGAATTACACAATTTCAGTGGGTCATAACGGACCCGTGAAGGTTAACGGTGTGGTACCTCTTGCCAAACAAGAGCTAGACACGAAGACAGCTAGTATACCTGCCAGTTCGACGGAAATGAAGGTGAACGCGTTTGCTGCTCCGAAAGACATAGCCGCCTCATCCCCCAGACCTAGTCCTATCCCTCGGAATCTCTCTCCCGCCGTCGGCTATAATTCGCCCAGGAACTCCCCCAAGCACTCGCCCAAATCTTCGCCCATGATAAAGCACATGTACGCGCCCGTGCCAAACCTGATGATGGACCAGCTCAGAGTGAATACTTTCACTCAAAGAGCTCCATCGCCCAAAGTGAGTAACTTCAATAAATCCCCCAAATCCTCGCCGCAGCTGCCAAGCTCATCGGCAAATCTTCCCAGTCCAAGCAAACATCCTATTGCTTCGCCCGTTTCGTCCCCGAAACCAGTTGTCTCTTCGCCGAAACCTTCAGCTTCTTCGCCAAAACTACAGACCTCTTCGTCCAAACCCCAAGTTTCCTCACCGAAACTACCAGCAATGTCGCCCAACGGGCAAGCCTCCACTTCTGGGCAGTCAGTTCCTTCTAAGGCTAGTCCCAAGGCGAACACCAGTGGTGATCAGAATCCCGCGCTGAGTCCCAATCAGATTCTGGAGAAGTACAACATACAAAATTTGGCTCAGATGTCGGCGAGTTTGAACTTCAACGCTAACTTCGGATTGAATCCAAACAATCAGTTGGCCGCCATTCAGCACGCCATGCTGTTGAAACATTTCGAGATGCAAAACCGTCAAAATTGGATGAACATGAATCAGGGTCCTCTGGTGCAATACGAGAGGTATTTGCAGAGTTTGAAAAATAACCATTTGTTGAGCAACATCAAGGAAAACTGACTAACGCGGAAGCGTTTGTTGTTGAGTGTTCCTTCGATTGTTTAGGTTAATTGTACATTTATTAGTTGAATAGTCTAGTGATCAGATTATCTTCGAAAACAATTATTTTGTGGTCAACGTTTCGGATTTATTGGTATTCTTCTCATGGCTCGGGGCAGTGATAAAATTACTCGCCGTATAGGAGAATTGCCATGTTGAAACTATAAATAAAAGTCATTAGACGGGTTAGATACATTTAAGAAACAGTAAATACTGTGGCTTTAAATAAATACAGGGACTGTGGGGTTCTTGATATTTTGTTTCTCAAAATCTCTCTTGTGTTCTGAAACTCGTGTTTGCAGATAACGCCCGGTTTGGCCTACATATCATTTTGGGACACTTTCCACCGTTTAATTTTCAAACTATGTTAGAGTATATATCTGGAGGTGTTTTAGGTTTCAGTTTAGATGAAAAATAGTTTTCTGATTTGAGAAGGCCACTTTAATTTGTTTGTTACTAAGTAACAGGGCAAGTTCTTCAGACAAATTTGACACACATGGAATTTTATGATATTTTGTGTTTGCTCTGGTATTTTGAGTAGAGAAAGTTTTTTTCCTGATTATTTTTGAACAAGGGATATTGGCATTTCATTTTTCGTAGGATCTCCAACTAATCCAGTCACTTTATGACCAGCAAAGTGGCCTATTCAAATAAGGATACTGTTGAAAACTATTTTTCATATACATAGAAACCTTAAACACCGCTAGATACAATCTAACATAGTTCACAAGCTGAACTGTAGAAACTCACAAATGATATGTTGGTCAAACCGGATGTTATCTCATAACACGATTTTCAGAACACACGATTCATATTCTCAAACACGATAGTGTCTACACTAGTGTAGACTTAATCAGTGGAATACTCAAATAGTTCTTTTTTTATTTCACTTCACATCAATGAAAACAGGTATAAATCAGTTTGTTTGTTTCATGTCACTGTGTGCTGGTATTGAATAGTTTGTTTGATGCATCGGTTTTCATTTTGTAAGTGTCCAACACGTTTGATGACTTTGAATTTAGTTGTGTCAACATGGAAAACTCATTTTCGAGCCCTGAAGAAGAATTTAAAAAATTTTGAAACGTCAGCAAGAAAACAATTGTTCATCTAAGATAATTTGATCGTGTTACCCAAAAAACCTTTCTAGAAATGTACATTTATCTTGGCTGTTCTATTTTGAATAATTCATATCACGAAACGGAAATGTTAGTGTAAATGAAATTGTATTCCGAAAATTCCTGAAACCATTTCCGACAGCTTAATTTTTTTTTAACGATCAATGACAAATCAATGTACTTTGAAGAACCACAAAAGTGTAACAGGGCTTTTTATTGAACATCATAGATTGGCTATTTCCAATACGTATTTTCAGAACTACCTCCAATCTTAGGGATCGCGATAGAGGGGTTTTATTTTTTGAAAATATTTCCAAAATTGAATTCCGATGTTTGAAATAACTGGGTTTCATGTATTTGAATGTTTAGCGTAAATTTTGAAAACGAAACTGTTACTTGTAGACAACTTTTAACTCAAGGACTACCGCTTTTTTTAAACAATTTCGATTTATTGAAGTACTCACTATCCACCCTATCATATTTATTGAATTTTCATTTTCGGTTTGCGATTTTGCAATGCATGTTTCCACTTTTGAATTGGATAAGTTCACATTTTCCTTTATGTTCGTTCATTTTGCATCCTACTGTTTTACAATTCCGTTGGTTATTTATTTTTGTTTTATATTTGGGAATTTCTGTTGATGTTTCTATATTAAATTATTGTTTATTTTTAAGTTTCTTGTGATTAAGAACGTGTATTATACTGATGTAATTAGTTAGTTTAAGAAAAATGTAAAATATTATTTTGCAATTTTCATTAAAAAAATGAAACTACGAAATCCGTCATTTTTGTTTTCACTAACCTCAATTTTACCAATCAAAATATCTAGGAAGGTACGTTTCGATATTTTCATATAATAATAATAATAGTGCTACTCCTTGATAGAAATTTGGCCTCCCTTTCAACTGAACTGTATTTAGATACGTTCAAACAAAATATTTTCAAATCGAGTTAAAATTTTACTCGAAATGGAATAAGTCAAGTCGACCATTTTAGCTTGGCCTTTGATATGAATAGAAGAAAATCAGTGGACTATAGAGGAATCACGTGTTAGGAATCACACGTTAAAAGGTAAGACCTCGTTAATCCTTAGCTCGCACAAGTTTCGACTTCTGAGGGTTGTTGTTCGTAGGGGTGCGACAACTGGTTAACGGAAAAACAGATTTTTCAAACAGACAATGGAAAGTTTCTGGAATGTGTAGTCCGTGTAACACTGTTCATAATTTTCCGCTGAAAGATGAGGTTCTACTTAAACCCGTTTAGCTCGCTACACCCAAATAGAATTTTATTGGAGTATCAATTCATCTGGTTAATCTGGCGACGAATTCATTTCAGTGCCAAAAAACTCAATGGGATTCAGATCTGGATGATACGGAGGCATTTGGAATATGCTGAATTGGTAAGTTGTTCTACAATTGTTCATAATTTTTGGTTGACGTACGGATTTTAACTAGAATCCGTTCAACTCGCTACAGCCAAATAGAAACTTATTGGAATATTGATTGATCTGAGCCCATGTTTTTACTGGCGACGAATCCATTTTAGTGCCAAAAATCTCATTGGGATTCAGATCTGGATGATATGGAGGCATTTGGAATATGTTGGATTCGTAAGTTGGTCTTCAATTGTTCATAATTTTTGGTTGAAGTACGGATTTTAACTAAAATCCGATTGGATTTTGATTGATCTGGTTGAAATTTGAGTCCATGTTTTTGTGGCGACATATTCATTTCAGTGCCAAAAATCTCATTGGGATTCAGATCTGGATGATATGGAGGCATTTGGAATATGTTGGATTGGTAAGTTGGTCTACAATTGTTCATAATATTTGGTTGACGTACGGATTTTAACTGAAATCCGTTCAACTCGCCACAGCCAAATTGAAATTTATTGGAATATTGATTGACCTGAGTCCATGCTTTTACTGGCGACGAATTCATTTCAGTACCAAAAATCTCATTGGGATTCAGATCTGGATGATATGGAGGCATTTGGAATATGTTGGATTCGTAAGTTGGTCTTCAATTGTTCATAATTTTTGGTTGAAGTACGGATTTTAACAAAAATCCGATTGGATTTTGATTGATCTGGTTGAAATTTGAGTCCATGTTTTTGTGGCGACATATTCATTTCAGTGCCAAAAATCTCATTGGGATTCAGATCTGGATGATATGGAGGCATTTGGAATATGTTGGATTCGTAAGTTGGTCTTCAATTGTTCATAATTTTTGGTTGAAGTACGGATTTTAACAAAAATCCGATTGGATTTTGATTGATCTGGTTGAAATTTGAGTCCATGTTTTTGTGGCGACATATTCATTTCAGTGCCAAATATCTCAATGGGATTCACATCTGGATGATACGGAGGCATTCGAAATATGTTGGATTGATAAGTTGGTCTACAATTGTTCATAATTTTTGGTTGACGTACGGATTTTAACTAAAATCCGATTGGATTTTGATTGATCTGGTTGAAATTTGAGTCCATGTTTTTGTGGCGACACATTCATTTCAGTGCCAAAAATCTCATTGGGATTCAGATCTGGATGATATGGAGGCATTTGGAATATGTTGGATTGGTAAGTTGGTCTACAATTGTTCATAATATTTGGTTGACGTACGGATTTTAACTGAAATCCGTTCAACTCGCCACAGCCAAATTGAAATTTATTGGAATATTGATTGACCTGAGTCCATGCTTTTACTGGCGACGAATTCATTTCAGTACCAAAAATCTCATTGGGATTCAGATCTGGATGATATGGAGGCATTTGGAATATGTTGGATTCGTAAGTTGGTCTTCAATTGTTCATAATTTTTGGTTGAAGTACGGATTTTAACAAAAATCCGATTGGATTTTGATTGATCTGGTTGAAATTTGAGTCCATGTTTTTGTGGCGACATATTCATTTCAGTGCCAAATATCTCAATGGGATTCACATCTGGATGATACGGAGGCATTCGAAATATGTTGGATTGATAAGTTGGTGTACAATTGTTCATAATTTTTGGTTGACGTACGGATTTCAACTAAAATCCGTTCAACTCGCTACACCCAAATAGAAATTTATTGGAATATTGATTGATCTGAGTCCATGCTTTTACTGGCGACGAATCCATTTCAGTGAAAAAACATCTCATTGGGATTCAGATCTGGATGATATGGAGGCATTTGGAATATGTTGGATTGGTAAGTTGGTCTACAATTGTTCATAATTTTTGGTTGACGTACGGATTTTAACTAAAATCCGATTGGATTTTGATTGATCTGGTTGAAATTTGAGTCCATGTTTTTGTGGCGACATTCATTTCAGTGCCAAATATCTCAAAGGGATTCAGATCTGGATGATACGGAGGCATTCGAAATATGTTGGATTGATAAGTTGGTCAACAATTGTTCATAATTTTCGCTTGAGGTACGTAGTTTTACTAAAATTCGTTGAGCTCGCAACACCCAAATAGAAATTTGTTGGAATATCAATTGATCTGGTTAACATTTGAGTCTTATGTTTTTGCTGGCGACGAATTTATTTCAGTACAAAAATCTCAATGGGATTCAGATCTGGTTGATGGCGAGGCAATAGAAATACGCTGGATTGATAATTCTTGGTTTAGGGATGAGGTTTCACTAAAGGATTGTACCTATACGTCATGTTTCTAATTCTGTACATATTTCAGTGTTGTTCTTCAGTCTCATAAAATTCACTTCAAAGTTTAGTCTGCATTTGTCAACTTCACCGTTCCTTTGTTCTCCGAAATATCTTTTTGCAACATACGTAGTTGATAGTGCTATCTTTCTTTGGAGATCATTCCTTCTTCAAAACACCAAAAACATCGATCATCAGTCTTACCAGAAATTTACTAAAAACGATAATTTAGTACATCAACTAGATACTCTCATTACATCTAATTGAAAACTCATCCAGCTTTCCACATTTTGTCATTTAACTTTTTCCATGGCCAGTTAAGCGATACAACTGAATACTTTTCATTTGGTCACACCTAGAAAGTAATCCAACAATTTCGTTTTCGGCCTAATGAGTAAATGAAATTTTTCAATGACGTTCTGTTGGGATTTTTCCTGACGTTGCGCCAGCGCGTGAATGGCAACTTCAGAGGTTTGTGTTGTCACTTTCATAGTTGCAGGCAGTGTTTTTATGTAAGCTCTTGAATTTGGTAACATTTTATCACTCTCACTTCAGTGTACTGAAGGTCCTGTCATAGGACCATAATCCATTACTTCTTACTGAAAATGTTTTACTTTTCGAAGACATGGTTGACTGGAAATATTCCATATATGTATATGGCGTTCTGGTCAGGAAGAGTACCTATGAATTGAAAACGAAATATTATTAAAAAGAGGCCATTTTTTTCTTTTCATTCAAAATTCCCTACATTTTATGTTCAATGTTGGAGATGTAGAAAGCCAAAACGGTTTTCTCGCAGAGTACTTACATTGACTTTAACATTGAACATCTAATTCTTCTCCCTGAATCAAATATATTGGATCACAGAGCTGATAAGTCATTATGAATCTTTGTTCTGTGCAACAGCTTGATTCAAAAGTAAATGTTATTGTTCTTTGCACCGTGACATAGAACACCAATTGATTTTGTGTTCTATAGTCATGAACCATTAAAATCTGTTCAACCTTACCTTTTTTAATAAGTACTACCTAATAGATTTATGTTTTTCCTGATATTGCGACACATTGTAACAGATACTACTCAATGGCAATATTTTTATTACAATAATAATGATATATGCAACACTGCTTGGAGGTATATTGGTGTACTTTCCGAAACCACAAATTGTGTTGAAAAATGGCCACCAAAACTTATCAGTAAGAAATGTTGTTAGATCCGAAATGTTCCTAAAAATGATTTGTTTGCTGTTGTTGCTTGATGAAAAAATGTCATGACTGACATGAATCAAATGTATAGAACAACAATGAAACTATCTTCAATATCGACTTGTAATATACAATAATGAAGCTATTAATTTATTTCACCTTAACCCATCACCTTCACTTAATTACTTTAATATAAAACTGTTCCATCAAAATACTTCATTAGATAGCGTTGAAAATTGGTCTTCGAAAAATTCTATAAAAAATAGAACATTCATTGAAGCGTTTTGTCGCAACAGAAACACAAGCATTAGCTGCACGTGAATCAAAGAAAATGTCGCTTCACATTGAAGGAAAATAAATCTGCATGAATCAATTATCCCATCCTTTCTGTTCAACAGCAAGTACTATCTATTACACTTTCCAATTAAATATTTACCTCGTTTTCTCAGAAGGAACAGGAATGGGAATTAGGGCCAATATTTCAAGACAGTTTATGTCTCTGTCTACTTCTGGTGTTGTCATCGTGCAAAAAGAGAAAGAATATTCGAAGGCTTTTTGGACCCAACCCGAATGGTTGTATTATTACTCGCACGAATCGGCGGCTCTCAAAATGTTTCCGACCGTCGCGTCGTGTGGTTTTTGTTATAGTATTGAATATTAGTGGAATATGTAATGAAACTGATCGAAATTCGATGAAAATCATAAAATTTACATAACTGACTATCGTAGATATGATTTTTATATTTGTGTTTGAATTTCCTGATATTGAATCTCTTCAATTGCTTGGGCAATGAATTATAGAGTTTTACAGCACCAAAAAGAAATGATCTCTGAAACTGTGCAATGCGATGCATAGGTAATTTGTTTTTATTTCTAATATTGATTGATTGAATATCTTCACGCAGAATTAGTTTTGGTATTAAAAG